TTTTAAAGGAGATTCCTCTCTTCATCTCTTATAAGGAAAACACTAGCAATAATTGCAATTGTAAAACTGCATGTGTAAATTCTTTGTGTCGAATGCACAAGTAATAAGTAATCAGAATCATGTTAGGTGTGTTAGCTGACCTCCCTCTGTTTATGAATACTGTATCATTTGTCAGTGAAAAGAGTGAAAATATGGTCTTTGTTCTCATTTTATATTTAAAATGAGAATTTTTTGGGGTCCTTTGATGTTCTACCTAGTTGTGTGTTAAGTTTACCTTATTTTAGTAACGTGACATTTTTCATATGTGACTAGACCCCAATAAACATGAAAGGGCATGTGTGTGTGTGTGTGTGTGAGAGAGAGTGAAATTAATTAATGACCAGCAGAGCTCCCCCACAGCTCTGTTAATGTGCTTAGATCAGTGTTATGAACAGGTCGTGGAAGGTCTGCCCAGCACCAGGCCTTCAAATGTTGAGCCTCATGTTCAGGTAGATGGATGAAAATCTGGTGATATTAATGATGTCGTCTTCCGACCTCCAGACACAGGGTGAAATTAACGGCACAGACTGGGCCGTTTACCTGCCATTCGTCATCATCCTACATGTAGACCCCACCCCTCCCTCAGCCTCCCCGAGCACATGCTGAACATGTCTGTCGATTTATACACGCTGTTCACTTCAGTAATATGAAGGATACAAAGTGGGTAATGGACGACTATTCATCTTGGGTTGTTCCTGTAGATATTGTTTCAGTACACAATAAGAATTATGGTTGAAGTGCAGTAAAGGGATAACAGTGAATTGAAGCATTTCTACTAGTTTCTGTAGCATTAGTAAAAATAAGCTATACCTTTTACTTTATAGTTGTTTTATTTGATTTATGGTTTATTATCCATTTTGTAAATTTCAGTCCCATTAACAGGGAAATTGTGATTTTCACATTAAATTCACTGTTTCAACTCTTATTGTTAGTTCATCTGTCAATCACACACACATCTTTGATGTAGCCTACAAATATATATTATTTTTTATATTGTTTACTTTCTACATTTTTAAAAATACTATTGTTTTCTATTAGTGGACTTTTATAGCTACTTCAGAAAGCAGCTGTAAACTTTTGTAAAAGTTTGAGGATTGTCGTTGTTACAGTATGTCTTTTTTTTTGTACTTCCTTCAGTATCACTTTTGTAAATATCTATATTTTCTAACTGCTTTGCGTGAGCCCATATGGACTCTTCACCTGTGGAAACAGATCTGGACTCTTCCCTCTCTCAGTCCCATTTATATTCATGGAATGGTCAGGAGCAGAGGTGTGCAGACGTGGGTTTACACATTACTGACAGACTTGCTCTTTGGCCAATTCCCACACATTCCAGTGAGCCATTTACTCATCTGGCCAGTGAGCCGTCTCACCGATTCACAACTTCTAGATTTTATAAATGAATGCAACAAGTTCTTGGAAATAAAACGTTGAATTGAGGAATAATTATATTTTGCCAGTGTTTATGTCCACCTGTGGCATCAGATTAGGAATTACAATTGGTATAAAGTGCTGCTGGGGATGATGGTCTTCTATTTTTTTTTAGTAGAGAGATGTATGATACGTGTGTGTGTGCTATAAAAAGTGGAAACTTCCTGTGTGTGTGTTTGTGTAAGTATTTGTGTAAGGTGACACCTGGGTGCTGTGTAGTCTCACTTCAGTTCAAGTGAGAGACGTAGTCCAAGAATGAGGTTGATGGTCCAAATCCATCATCTGGTTTGGGTCCACAGTTTGATTTGATCCCATGTTTTTTCATGTATTAGTTCATGTGATTCCTTCATTTGAGTATTTCCCAAGTTTATACATACTGTAAATTCAAATTTCTCTAATTTCCCAGTCTGGGATCAATAAAGTACATCTATCTAAATAAAAAGTAGTTCTGACGATGTGGGCATCCCTCAGTCCTCTCAGCAAACATCTGTCGCTTCACACAAACGTCCTACATTCAATGACCCACCGCCAAATAGAGCAGGGAGGAAGTGCCTTTGATGTCCAAGGTTGGCGCGCCTGTTTGAATTGGGCGTTTTCTTGTCAAAATTGTTGATTCAACATCACTTTTGCCGACCATGAGCAGTTCTGACATGGGTGTCACACAAGTACCAATGGTTTGTTTTTTGCTCTGATACTGAGCTTTCTCATTTTAGTGGAGTGGAGAGGTTTGAGATCCAAGACTTTCTGTGTATTAATAATACAAGAGTTCTCAACATTTGGGTTTATCACTTGGACTAAATCATGGTCAACGTCCTGTAACCAATTGTGGACAATGGAAAACATATTGAAATGTAGGACCAAGAGGTGAAGCACTAAAACTGTGACAGAATAGAGATGAAAGGACTTCAGTGTCATTTGATAGAGAGACAAATTTACTGACCAGTCCTCTCCAGGATTTATTCTGCATCCTAGCTTTTATCTGTGCTGTGAACAAGCCCACTGTGATACATATGTACAACCACAGGGACATCCGCTGGACTAAAATACTTTCTACCCTGCAGCAGCTCGGTTATCTTGCTATGTTTCTAATCCTAGATTCCACAGGACTGGACATTAATCTACTTCAAAAGCACTTTAAAGAGAGTCCCTGTTGAAGACTCACAGATGGAGAAAATGTGGAGGAAATGAATAAATATATGCTACAGTGTTTGATATCTGTTGTTAGGCCCAGATCAAAGCAAACCAATTGAGTTCCATTATACCTAATATATTTTCCTGTGATAAACAGTCCGGCTGAGGGCATAATCCCATCAAGGAGGACGGAGAGAGATTCAAAAAAAAAAAAAAAAGAAAAATAGAAACATCAGATATATCACTCAGCACAGACAGCTGGCACGGCCACTGTGGAGTATCTGCATTATTATGGGATTGGTAATCTTATTTCTTGGATCTGAGTTTAAATGTGGTGCCTTTTTTTTTTTTTTTTTTTGGATTTCCTTCTCGAATCTGGCCCAGACACAGAGACAGTGAGGCAGACACGGTGTTTCTCTGATACTCAGAGTCCATCTGCTTCAGAGGGCTACGGTAACTTCATGTCTTTCCTTTTTTTCTGTGGAATTTCTGAGAAGCTTGATGTATTTGACAAGTGTGTGACAGCCCTGGTTGTGTGCATTTGAGGTTGAGGCATCATGCTCACTACCTTTGCTGTGCGTTTTCAGGAAATGTGTCCGTGTGTGTATTTGTGTGCGTTAGCACCTCACGCTTCTACACACTCTATACACTATAGTGTAGTGTGTGTTTATCATGCCCTACAATGTCTGAATAAAACTGACTGTAATGATCTCTTACTTAGTACACAGCTGGTGAATGCCATGACATAGACTCACAGCATCACATGCACACACACACACACACAGACACACACTGATACACACTCAACCACAGCCCAGAGCCTTACCTTGATATCTTGAGCTTCTGTCATAACTTCAAATTTGACACCAATGAATGTGTGTCAGGTTGTCAATTTCTTCCAACAGCCTTTGACTGCAGCCTGGTCATGAATAGTGTATGTTGTTTTGTTTTTTGGAATCCAACTGTCTGCAAGTTTGTTTGTTTTGTCTTCCTTTTTTTGGGTTTAGAAAAACTTGGAAGGCTTGTACACTCATGTGCATCCTTTAAGACAACTTCCAGCAGGTGTTGTGTTGTTTAGCCTAAGGTAAAGATTCAACCCTAAAGGTAAATCTACCCATCTGTCTCAGATCTGCTTCCCTCCCATTTCTGTTTCTTACATTATTTGGATTTGTTTTTCTCTGTCTTGTTTTTGACGCCCATGCTTTTGACTCTTTTGATCCAGTTGTCTTTTGAGTCAGGACAGACATCTGTTTATATTCTTTCATCTATATATTCAGCTTCTACTTCTGCCCTTCATTTACCGGATTGTCTTGTAGACGGCTGTAGAGGGTCTCTTAGTCAAACACCATAGGGACAAGGTGTAGATATGAAATTTGGCTGCATCTTCAACATTAAAATTGCCAAACATCGCTGTATTATCGGTCCTATCTGCATGCCAGTCTTATTACCACAACATTTTATTTAACCCTGAGAGTCAGAGTCACATTTTGGCAGCTGGTTCTCATGTAACATGTGGTATGCCAGATGAGGTTTGAGGCCCTATTAGGAAATGTGAGAATTTGTTGTAAATGTCTCAATACACAGTATTGGATTTCTTTAACTTTAACATTGTGTGTGTGTGTGTAAACTGTACCAGTGTGATCATGCATGTTCATTCATAAAACTTCACACAGGAAGTTGTGTGGAAAAAAATAAAGTAAAATAATATAAATATATATATATTAATGTTAGTTGCCATCAGATTTATAGCTAAGAAAGGAATGTGGCTCTATGAAAGGATCGCTCCACCAGAATAACTGCTCTTATTGAAGGAGCTTAGGCCAACGTTTACAAGGTTGTGAGGGACCCCCTCGACAGTCTTGGCAAAAATGATGAAATGCCAGTAAAAGTCACAGTTTATGAGGCCTCTTGATAGTACTATCTTTGGATTCATTGAATTGATTGAGATGGTTGGTCATTTATTATGATTCTGTTGTTACTGTGTTTTTGTTTGCTGTATGTTTTCTTTTTAATATGCTCTGCAAAGGTCTGCAAAAGATGTTGACTGCTGTGGCTGTCGTGTGACTATGTGTGGGCCAATTCAGAGCAAGTGGGATAATATTTTTTGAAGTGGCAGCTCATCTGGATACATAAAACACCATCTGGGTTTGAGTAGATTTTTTTTAAGAACTTGAAGGTCATTTGTTTTAGATGTTTAAGGTCCCTGCTCCTTCGTGGTTATTACCAAATTATATATTTTCCTGGCGTAACCTCTCACCTTGCACAAAATATTGAACAAAGGACAATGTTTAGTATACATCAAAGTGAGTCTGTAACAATTACAGGGGAGATAAATTCAATGTGTTTCTGCTGCTGCTGCCCACATGTATCAGCCTGATTGACTGTGATCTGTTCCACAGAGGCGGAAGTTACTGCAGGAATTGGGAGACCAGAAGATCCCGTTTTTAGGACCTTCAGACCGAGGCTTTCAGCAACTGGTGGGTTTACTGTAGTTCAAATAATGCAATGTTTATGGTGCCTTTTTTTTTTGCTTTGCAAGATTTATATTGCTTTTGTCAGCAACATCATTATAAAAATGTTTATGTTCCCCAGTGGGACTCTAGTTACTCTGGCCTTGTACTGAGGAGATCCTGCTCGCTGCCTGCTGAGCTCCATGACCAGGTGCAGGCAGCGCTGCTCACTCTGAGAAATAAGGGCTGTCTCCTGAGGGACCTTGTCCGTGTTCGAGACCGAGATGTATTCACCGCCGTGTCACGTGTTCTGCTGGGTGAGCCAGGCCACACTTACCGTTACCTGGACACCAGGCTCTTTGCCATCCCCTGGCACAGTGAGGACTCAGCGGTTAAAGGTGTCAACTGTTGTGACCCCGACTTAAGAGCTGCTTGCAGGGCATTGTGGGAGCTGAATACCTTTTTCTGCTCTGATGTGTCTGGACTAGAGGAAGGGGACAGGTTAACTCAGTGCGTGAAGGTGGAGGTAGAGACCAGACAGGGTAAAGAGGGGGACACAGAGTCCAAACACAGTGAAGACTCAAAAAACAGTGAAGGAGGTGATTCGGAGTCCAGAAAAAGTGAGGAGGGGGACACTGAGTCCAAGCACAGCGAGGAGTGGGACATTGATTCCAAACACAGTGAAGAAGGTTGTCCTGGCTCTTCTCAGGAAGGAGACTGGGAGACGGAGTCCAAACACAGCAGTGAAGAGGGAGAGTGCTCCCAGGTCAAACCAAGTGAAGGTGCTATTTTAGGTCAGAGTGAAGGGAAGTGTCCTGGCTGGACGTCTAAGCCAGTCAGCAGCACAGAGACTGAAACTGTGGCACTGGGGGCTCATGGGAAACCTCCTGGGGTCCAGCTACAGTGCGGCAGCCTGACAGGTGACCACATTGATGACAAAGATGATACGGGAAATGTGCAGGGCTGTTCCCAGCCCAGTCCACCGCAGGTATGCACGGGTGTGGTCAAGTTCAATGTCACCCTACTCAACTACATGGACCCGACAGCTATGAGCCAACTGAAAGAGGAGCCATATTATGGTATGGGGAAAATGGCAGTGGGATGGCACCATGATGAAAACCTGATCACTCATTCGCCCGTGGCTGTTTATAGCTATAGCTGTAATGACGACAAAGGTAAGGTCACCCTTAAAAGCATCTCATGAACAAGTGTATCTTTTTATTTAACACCTGCTATGTGCACTCACTCAGTATAATATACAAGTCTGTGACTTGTTTTCTCTCTTTGACTTCAGTTACCCTCATTAATTTTAGTGGATCAGATGCAGCTAACCTTGTGCATCACGTCCCTGCAGCGTTGCTGTAGCAGCTGTAGACATGGCCTCCGGTGAGGCGTCCATCAGATTCATCTGTGAGATAGTGTCAGGGCATTATCAAATGTCATCACCGGATTGCTGCTGACAGCCTTATCGCAGCCCGTGCGTTGGGAGATCACAGACATTTGGATCTGAGCTCTTAACACACGCTCAATGGTGCAGTCTAACAAACAGCCCTTATCGCACACGCTGCATCTCATCTAAATCATTTCCCCAAGAAATAATCAATGTGCAATTATCTGATATGGAATAATGAGGCCTGCTTTGAAAAGTGTTCTTGACTACACTGTATGGATAATGCGATGTCTCCTAATTATGGAGTGTGCGTCAGGGGCTGATCGTTTCTGTTGATGGAGCTGATAGAGAATATCAGAGAGAGGAATAAAAGTTTGCTTTCTAGACTATGAGCATGGAAGCTAAACGAAGGAATATTGTTCCGTACGAAAATATACGTTTTGATCAAGGTGTTGTCATTCACACCTTACTCATACAGTTGTATGATTGAGGTTGTTTTTATGTGAAACCAATAACCATAAAACATAAGACATTCATCTCTAAAGTAACTATTAAGTACAATGTAGTAGTTTATAGAATGATATGTAATCTATTACATCTTAGAAGACTAATCAAACCCAGCTTTATTAAGGCAATAACAAAATACCCATTGTAACAGTATTTTCCAATTCCAAAACAGTTTTTTTATTTGTAAAAAATCTGGGTTATAGAAGAGATTTCCACCAGATTTTTTTACTGACCATTATTTGCTTTTCTTTTATCTCACCTTTTAAGAAAATGAAAGAAAGATGCAGACATGAACACTGCGTACACAGGAACTGATTTTCATTATGTACCTTATTCTAATCAAGATGTCAACATGAACACTGCGTACACAGGAACCGATTTTCATTATGTACCTTATTCTAATCACCAAGCACCTTATTTTGAGTTGTTAAACTGAAACCAGCAGTTGATGGCAAATGTTTCATAATTACATGTTATACATAGATACAGTATATATATACACATATTTTGTGAAGAACACTTTTTGTCAAATGAACTAAATCTGTAAAAATCTTTAATGAAAAGTCGTACCAAAAAATCTGAATCAGCCTACTGTTAAAGTAAAAAACAGAACATGCTTAAATGATAAAAGCTTTTATTTTCTTCAAATAAAGAGCTTAAGGTTTCATGGTTCGTTAGTCACTGACAATTTGATTTGTCGTTGCTGACCCACTGCAGTTTTCTTTCCGCTGCTTACGTCCTTGCTGCGGCACGTAGACAATACTTGTTAAAGTGAAAGCCCTCTGCGCAGTCTGCATGTGCGTTGTGCAAATTAAATTTTACATGATCAAACAGGTGTAGTGCCAACTGCTCTGACAACCCGACACGTTTTACAGCTGCACTTTCTTCATTGGAGTTTTCTTAACCAGAAACACCTGCTCTGGAGGTCTGCTGCCATGATTTGTTCTAAGCCATTTCAACTCTGACCCTGTGTTAACACGAGCTTCAAACACCATGCTGAAACATCTTGTTGTGCTTTAGCAGCTGTGTCTTTTCCAGTTCTGAGTGACCCCACAGCTCCAGACTTTAGAGAGGAAAGTCTGAGTGGAGTGCCAGAGAGATATATTCCAGTCGCTGACTCTAAAGGGCTCCCAGAAGCAGCTAATGAAATGCTTTCCTTGCGTAATGTTGCACTTTCAGAGAAGAAAGAAACAAACTAAATCAGGTATCTTAAATTCATGTTAAGCACTACACCCAAGAGGAATTTCTTTTGTGTTTTAGCCAGAAAAGGTCTATAAACTGAGTGTTTTTTTCTGCTGGCCCGAACTAAAGGAATCTGCCACAACTGAGTGTTTTTCAGGACGAAGGATGATCTTTCCTCTATTCCTGAAGCCTTTGGGAGTGCTGTCATTAGCTGGCTCTCACAGCACAATGGCTGGAAATTAAGTTACTATTTATCCGTGCTGAGCAAAGGAAAAGGCAACTGTGGGGTAGAGAGGCCCAAAAAGACTTTAGTATTGATTTTGCTAAAGGGTGTTGGCCAGCCAAGCCAAATCTCGTTTTCGTAGTGTGGCATGTAAGAATGGAGAGGCAGAGGGAAGAACAGGGGAGGTGGTTACAGTGAATGGCTGCAGAAACAGAAGAATCATTGGATATCTGCTGTCTAATAACACGCTAAACACCATCAGGGGCTTTTATCCAACTATTTCCTCTTGCATGGCATAATGATAGCATAAAGCTCCTGTGCTAACAGCCAATAAGCTCGCAGCAACACACATCTCTCCTGTTCAGCTTTTAAGTGATTTGTACTTCCTGGAAAGGTACTTTACATCCATTGTTTGGGTGTGTATGGATTTAATTATAACATTTCCTGCTGTTAAAAATGGAAATCATCTGTTTAATCCACTGGGCCCAAGAACATACTGGATTGTCTCGGCCAAACTTAAGCTGATTCAGTATAAAATATGATGATAAAAAATACACACATATATAAATGTGTGATCATTTTTGCCCCGCGGAAAGTGTGTATGGATAAATCTGTAATGGCTCCGTATGTTGAGTTGAATGTAAAATGTAAATGTTACGGTGAGTTTACGTTGATCGTTACTGACAGGTGACAGTGGTGAGGGCAGCAGCAGCAGTCAGAAGACCTGCTGGAGGGTTGGACTGAAGGTCGCCTGGGACATCCACACACCTGGTCTGATGCTGCCGCTGGAGTCTGGAGACTGCTATTACATGAAAGGTACTTAGTCTTAGTGTATGGACACACACACACACACACACATGCATGTGAACATGTTGCTCTCTCAGCTTAGCCACAGTGTCTGACTTTGGAAAAAGAGAAACATTTTTATTACCCTGTGTTTTAGTGTTTCTTGTCCTGTGTCCCAACGACCCGTGGCAACAGGATGCACTCCACTCACTCAGTCATGCTCTTCCCTCTGATTCTAATCCTCTCAGCAGGAGCTAAGTTGTGTGTGTGTGTGTGTGTGAACACTGTGTGCACTTGGCCCCAACACTGAGCTTTAAGGTTCCATGAAATTGTGAGCATTAGAGAGGTTAGGAAAACCAAATGTTATTTTTTGAAGTCCTGTGACCCACAGCTGACTATGACTCTTCAGGGAGGACAGACAGCAGGCCACAGGAGTGTAAATCACAGCTTGGCTGTGTTTGGCTGCATGAGACACCTCCACCCTCCTCCTCCTGTTGGTTTATGAGGCACCATTTAGTTTCTACATATTTTCTAAATGCGAGTTCATTTTGAAATAATTCCTATATTTTTAATTCTTACATTCTCCACCTTCAATATACAGTAGCCTTTGATAAACCACTGACAAATCGTATTTTTGATTATTTTCTTGTCGCTGATAAATAATCTCTCACCCAACTCCTTGTATGTTATTATTTTTCCTTAAGTATTTGACCCTGGGATTAAAAGATCACGGTTTTGATCCCTTAAAATAAAATATGGATCTATGGAGGATCTATCTTGATTACGTTCACATATGATCGCAATGTTTCTTTGTGATGAGATTAAGCTGCTATCTTGTCTTTTCTGCCTAAATAGCAAATCAGAAAATCAGCTTAAAGGATAGACGTCATCTTTTAGTGTACGGCTGACATGTAATCCAGAGGTCAAATTGAAAAACCGTTTGGATGAGATTTGCTCCAAATTAAGATTGTTCAGTTGAGATTACTTGTGGGGATAAATGTTCTTGTCCAATATCAGAACTGTGACACTAGCAAAATTATGACGGAGCAATCACTTTGGAGAAACATCAGTAGGTCGTAGTGGAGCAAATCACTGTCCCTGAAAAAGCAGTTTCCATAACAAATAATAAAAACCCAACAACACAGGCACAGGCTGTGACACATGTTCCTGCTGTTACACCACATTTAGAATCTTTGTCAACGTGCCATCTTTAGCCTTTTGTTTCCTAACTTTTTTTTTCTCTCACAGTGAAAGGAAATTTGAAAGTAATAACTGGATGTGGTTTAACGTCAGCTGAGCCAGACATTGTCAAACTGGTATCATAACCTACTTCCGTTAAATGACAACAGAGGAGAGCGGCCTGAGAAAGCCACAGGCAGACACCGCAGACTGAGGATGACAGACAGATTTAGCTCGGCCTTGTGTAGCTGTGAAACGTCATCATGAAAGGATGACCATTTTGGCCGCACTCCATCAATCAGGCCCTTCTGGTAGAGCAGCAAGATGGAGGCCACTTAGAGTAAAGGGCATGTGACAGCCCACGGTGAGTTTGTCAAATGTATAAAGTATTTAAAGAGCTCCGAGAGCAATGGGATCTCGATCTTAGCTCTGATAAGACAGAAATTGAGCACTTCTCGTGCAACTCCATCCATCCAAGCTGTAGAGCAGCAGTCACTGCTCAGCCTCTGGGTAAAAAAAAAAAACCTTCCATACAGTGACATAGAATAATGGCAGAGACTCAGGGATAAAGTAAAGACAGAAGGACTGGGACAGAAGTCAGGGCAGTCTGTAAATGTCCTTCTGAGTTTGTCACATATAACAGAAACATATTTGTAGTATCTGTGTTTCAATCTATCCTGCTTGTTTTTAACACAAATATGGATGTTATTTACAATGAGGTTTCTTAAATTGGCCGTGAGCTAGTGAGTGCAGAAATGTCTGTACCTGATGTAAAGGCCCTGAAGCCCACCCTCCTCCACCACTTAACAATAGGACAGTCAGTTTCGGGCCAGTCATGACAATAGAAAGATGGGCTGCTGCGCGGGCCAGTCTAATGGGAGCAGACTGTCGTGGATCAATGGGGATTTATGTTCCACTTGGTGAGTACGCCCTTGAGAGGCCAACTGCTGCACAATGATAGCAGCTCACACAGTCCTTGGACCACCTCAGCGTGGTCTGTTTACCTGCATTTAAGACCTGTCTTGATGCACAAACATTTGCATGAACATTTGTCTGAATTTGAACAACACTTGTGCGTGTGTGAACACAAATGCTCAACTCCTTGCAAGGAAATGCACATCCTTGCTTATCGAAGGGAAAATATGCCTTTAAAGACGTTTTTAGGGGATTCATCACCAGACTTATCACCACTAAAGTAAATGGTGAAAAAATTGTACTAGTTCTAAATCGTTTCGTGGTGTTAAGAGATTACTAGAGAGGTTTATTTTGCACAGACACAATAAAGACTTTTCAACGCCATTTGTTGCGAGTTGGCCCTTTTGAACCGCTAATGTCTGAGATGCCGAAGGCAAATTGAATCACTGTCATTTCCACCCAAATGGAATTTCAGTGGTTAAAAAAGAACAATGCAAGTCTTGACACCAGGCCTGTTCAATAATCAGATTTCCAGCTCCCAATGCACAGGGGGACTGGAGAAAAGAGTTGACCCAATATATTTAAAAGCCTGCTTCCTGGAAACGGAGGACAAGTGGCAGCAGGCGCAGGGGTTGAAAGAAAGATAAATATTTATTACAGTTATCGAGTTTGCCTCTACTCCCTCCTGATCCCACTGACGCATCAGACGCGCCAAGAAAAGAGCAGATTGATGGAGATAATTTGTTATTGGATATAAACAGTTTTAAAGACGCAGAGTAATTCTGCCCAGAGACCTAATCCTTCACAATCTCATCAGGGTGAAGAAAACACCGGCAAGTTGTTTTGTTTGTCACCATCTTTTTTTTCTCCTCCTTCCAAACAATAATATCTTTCTCCCAAAGCATTTGGCTGTTTGACTTTCAAATCACAGGCATTAGACGCTGTATTCTTGCTCAAGGCGGGTGTAAATATGCACATGTGCTGTGAATGACAGCTCTGTCATGGCTAAATTAATTATTGGTATGAGGCAAATAATGGCAGTACTGAGAAACATCTATACACACAAAGAAACACATGGAGGGATACACAGGAAACAGCAGTAAGGCCTCTCAGTAAAGCCCCTGTGATATTGGACAAATGTTTGTTGGTATGGAACTTCCATCCTGACAGATTGAGTGAGATCTGGTTTTATTTGGTAATTAAAAGTATAGTACAGTTCTCCTCCTACTATTTTATCCAGTGTAGTGCAATCTGTCTGAGAGAGAGAATATGAGAAGGTCTTGGTTTTTATATTCTCCTTCTGCTCTTATCTGTTTTTGGAGTAGTTTTTGGCTACTTTTACTGGCCTTTAAAGAATTACAATAAAGAGATCAAAATATAACATTTTGTGAATATTATTTTAATGTCAGTGTCTTTTTGTGTTTTGGTTTTAGTTATGTTGCTTTAGTGTTTTTTTTTCCTGACAGTATTAAGAGATTTGTTTTGCTTTTCCTTTTACCAGATGACCTGAACACTACCCATCAGCACTGTGTCCTAACTGGAGACAACACACGCTTCAGTTCTACACACAGAATGGCTGAGGTGAGAAACAAACAGAGTTAGATCCGTCTTTTGGTGTTTACATAGTATTTTTTAATTTTTTAAAAATGCAATAGACTCATAATAGAGCCGTTCCCGGTGGGAGAGTTCTGATATTTTTACATGTTGACATGTTTTACTGTCCAACACCTCCTGAGTAAATGTCTTGTAAAACACAAAGTCTCCCTCTTTTGTGTCAGTGTTCAAGTGGAACCCTGACTTACATCCAGTCCCGCTGCCAAGAGGCTCTGTCAAACCTGCACCCCGACCCAGAGACGGGCTCGTACAGTCTGCTCGCCCTACTGCCAACAACTCTGCAGCACTGTGAGGAGATCCACAATGAGGTAATGAGAGATTTGACTTGTGTTGAACATAATTTTGCTGCGAATGTGTGTTTTCAGAAACATGGCAGTGAAAATGATTGTTAAAACTTGACAGTCACCTGATTTATACTGAAGTGCCATCATTCTTGCATCAGACCTGAATCAGAATTTGGAAATTCCTGAAACTGAAATTTTCCTTGTGGGGGAACCAGATGCCTGTACAATGAAGTAAATTCAACATACCACAGATAATCGTTTTTATCTGGCTTTACTCAGCCTGCCCGCCGCAACCAGGCTTAGTGTGCACACAGCTGTGGTTAGAAATCTGGGAAGTTTACCCCAGTTAGGGGAGATCACACATAAATAAAATAAATCATAAGCAAAAACATAATTACATTTGGTAAATTAGACTATTTTATATACCGTACATGTGACAGTAAGCAGAGGAATCTATGTTGGTCACTAGTACTTGAATATAAAATTGAAAAAAAGGAAATATAATTTTGTAAAATGTGTTTCTATTTCTAAACATATTATTACTACTACTATTTATTTTCCTTGGTCCCTGTGGATGGCTGGTGTGATTGAACGTGTTAACTATCCTGAGTGGGGGTGAGGGCCACGTCCCACCTTCCTACCACCTTGTTATTTCTGCTTAGGGAAGTGCCTTTAATACGGAATCCAGGTTGTACTCATTTGTCCAGCCTTGTGATGAATTGTAAGGCAATAGCCTCTCCATATGTTATCTAAAGATGGAGTCGTGCCCCACTCCCCTCACTAAAGCCTTTTCACACACAATAATGAGTGATGCTGGCTTGGGATACTGAGGGATGAAGTAAGGGCAAACAAAGAAAAACGTGAAGGGCCGTCTGTAAAGCCATCAACCTTCTGGTTTAGCCTGCTGCAGGCCAACAGTTAATATAGCACTTCACCTCTCCCCCTTTACACCCCTGGGCTTCAAGTGCGCATCGTAGCCAACCTGAGGGCCCCAGACCCCTCAGCAGGACACCATGACAGATGAGTCTGACGTAAGGTTGTTTAAAGGTTGTAGACAATATTAATTATTCAGCATTGCCAAACAATAGGGCTGTGCGTGTCAGGGGAGCGCTGCGCTAGTTAAACTAGCAGCACCTGCTAGGTTCCCTCATAGCACCGCAGGATTACCCAGTATAGACCCCTCCAGGAGGGCAAGGCAGGTGTATTTAGGAAAAACTGGATACTATTTATAAAACTGCAGGTGTGTGTGTATGTAAGTAAGGGGGAGCGCTCTCAAGGGCTCCAGCCCACCCTACCTGGCCCTCGTGATGATCGATGCAGCCATTTGTTGGGAGTTGCCCATGAGAGAAGAACACCCACTTACATGATGTATTAGTTAGTGGAGTTATTTATGACGGGGGGCATTCTTTGGTGCTAGGTGGGTGCATATTGTATAAGTTGTGTTTGACATGGACGACTGAGGAGTGAACGCTCTGGCAGTCTGACCTGAGCAATGCCTTATGGGCCGTTCTTTGAAATGTGCTAAACAGCCAGGCAGCACCAGCTCATGTGTCATGGACATTGTATTATGGGGGTGCAGTGGGAGGGCACGTGCAGGGTTGACATGGGTGTGTGAGGTGTAATGATGATGAAGAAGAGTGTTTGCTCTCTGAGTACGTGTTTGAGGAGGGGGCTTGGATGTAGACTTAAAGCAGATGCTGATGGTGGGAGAGAAAAAAACCTGACACTCCAACCTGTTTGTTAGATGTGTCCCTGTCCTCTGTCTTTGTGTAATCTTACTTCCTGTCATAGGTGGTACAGTGGGGGGTATTGGTGGTGGGGGTTAGTTATGTAGCATCGCCACACGGCGTTTGTGCATGTTTGTCTTTGAAATGCTAATCCCAGACACAAATGTCTTGTCTCATTTAAAGCCACTGTGTCACTTCCCAGTTGGGTGTGTGACAGAGTGCCCTGAGGGACCCCTTCTAATGATGCTAGCACCCCCACAGTAAATATTGAGGGGTGGGACAGGGTTTGTGTACATGTTCTGGCAGAAAGTAAACTGTGTGAAAGCGAGAGTGTGTGACCTTGCTGCGTCCTGTTTCTTAAACCTGAACGTGTTCCCAGGTGGCAGGGGCTCAAGTTCTTGTTGCCTGTGCGTTTTAAACACACTATAGCACTATATTCTTCGTTATATTCAGTTTTGTTATATTTATTAAAAAAATCACTTTAAGTGCACTCCCCATTTTGGTAGCATTACAATATGAATTACATGGTTGTAATGTTTATTCACCATAACATTTGTTACATCATTTTATTCTTAAAATAGATATTTGAAGATAAGATTCACATCAAACAAATCAGTGGTTTCCAACCTTTTTTGGCCTGTGACCCCATTTTGACATATATTTGTGCAAATACAAACCAGCCAGATTAGTGCACAATGTTTGTGCACTACATTTTCAGGACTTGGGTTGAGACCCCAAGTTTGAAAGACACTGGTTTAAACACAATTTTGTTTTATTTAATTGTTTTTTCATTTAGTTTATTTTTAACCAGCATGACATATTTTTTCATTTACATGTGCATTACTTGCACTAGCAAATGCTCGATTTCTTGATTGGAATTCGAATTTAAGAAAGAATATTACACACAAGCTCATGTAGGCCACACAGAATGATGTGGCAGCCCACGTTCAGCCCGCCGGCCTTGATTTTGACATATGTAGAAGAGAAGGATATTAAGAAGGATATATAATTGTTCATAACGATATGTGTCTATTGTTGTATGTAAGATTGTTCAATATTGCATGACTATAGATAGAGAAAACTGCGTTCCTCAGTGTTAAGATGAAGCTAGTTGTACCAGGCTGACGATAAGGGGCCTGGAAAAGGTAAACATAGGACAGCAGTATCGATCCCATTCTCATCAGTTCCAACCTCAGGGCCTTGGCCTGGAAATTGATTCGACCCGCTCTGGGAATATGGTGACGTTGTGCCTCATTAAATGAAAAAAAAAAAGGTTAATAGTTAGCTGCAACTGCAGAGTTCTCCATGTGGGCAGTCGGTACACTAATGTGGGGCTAAAGAGTAGTTAGTGTGTCCGTCACCAAGAGAGATGACAGTGACCGCCGCGGGGAACCACAAGCTTACCTCCTGCTCCTCTTCACAAAAAAGAAACAATCCTACGACCTACTGTTCCTTTCTCCCTCACCTTGGATGTTCCTGCCTGGCTAGGTGGCATTTAGTCAGAGTTTGTCTCTTGGTAGCTCACTGCTGGACGTCCACACTCTAAATGCCACGCTGGCCAGCGCTCCCTGGTTGCTTTAGATGCCCTGCTTTGTGTCTGCAACTGGCCCGCGCAGTGGGGGACAGGCAGCCATGTCAGCTCAAAGTGGGGGACACAGGTTGGCGTCTTCTCACTAAAGGACAGGCAGACAATCATAGAGCTGGAAGGAGGGACAGACAGAGAAAAGGACGTCCGATATCAGCACTCAAAGGCTTTGTTGTGTGTTTGAGGTGTTGTGATCGAAGGGGAGTGGATTTGGAGGGTGTCGAAGGCACCATAAAAGATGACATTTCTTTGAAGGGTGTGTTGTATGGAGTGACTGAGAGGCTGCTGAGCAGTGTCACTGGCTGTGTATTCTTCCTGACATGCCCCAGTACTTGCTTGTCATCCCCGCTGTGATCAGAGACCTTTGGAGGCAAATGGCAAGATGGTTGTGCGTGCAACTTCTGCCAAAGATATTTATTCAAAAATCACCCCTAGTGATTATTCTTGATAACATTACACACTGGGGCTTAAAGAAACAAGAACAATGGGATTTGGACAGGAGTGTCAAACGTCAATCACTCAATGGGCTGAAATTTAAAACCAAATTGTGGGATGAACAGGATTAACATTTCTAGAACAGTATAGTACTGACGATGCTTTAAGCAGACAGTGATAATTTTAACAAACTGCAACGCACTTTTACTTTATTTAAATGGAAAATTAAACCAGGTGTCAAACCTGCTGCTTGAACAACTGAGTGTCCCTGGGATTATTAAAGCATTTTCTTATTGAAACTTATCTTATTGCTCAGCCAATCAAACTGCACTTGTGACTCCATGTCACTACATGCATCTCCTCTATATTATAGTCCCCAATGTAAACATACTGTATTTTAATGTCTCTCATTGACAGCGTTATAGGACAGTGAACAATGTTACGTTACGTTACAAAAAATAGTTCTCATTGTCTGCAGATGTAAAAAAGATGATATTTGTAGTCTGCTCTAGCTGCAGTTGTTTACACATTGTTGATTTTGTGTGGTCTGGGCGGCAGTTGGAAAGACACTGAACAGTCGCATTCTTTTAAATGCATGTCTATTTGTGGACCAGTCTTAAGGGAAACATGTGGAAACTGACCTGAGTGTTTACACACCTCCACCCTGTCTTTATTACGGCTACTGCAAGTTCACAGAGGTTTCGGGATAAAAATCAACTCTGAACTCAAACAGAGTGAGGTGGGCTGTGTGGCCGCAAGGCCCAGGCAAATGTAATTATGTTGCAGAGCTTCTGAATAGTTTAAGATGCCGAAATGCTGCACGCTGGGTTTTATGAAGCCACAAAACTGAATAATCTCTGATCACAAAGTACTCTCACCTGCTCAGGTACCCAAACAGAAGGCCCGTGTACTGAGCGATCCTGGGTGGTTTGACCTTAACCTCTGCACTGGCTCGTCCACTTCACCAGTGGACCGTCCTCATTGACATGAACCAGAGGTCTGTATTTTTTACAGGCTGGATGGAAACTGGTCTGAACTCATTAGCCAGAACAAATTAGTTGTATATGAGTGTAATTTGTATGAGACAGGGTTAGATGAGAGTTAATGACTGGCTCATCCTGAAACCTCTGTTACACAAGTAGAGTGCCACCAAAAAGGCTAATGTTGCAGATGAGTCTCTGACTCCTTAGGATACGTTGGAGTCGACTAATCTGCTTAACCTCCTAGTCAGTTTTTTGTAAATGGATATTCAAGCTTTAATGGTTTCAGCTCCGGAACAATAAAGAACATTGTTTACAGAAATGCAAGAAGAGCGGCCTCCCCGTGGCACATGCACAGTGACAGTTTTGTATCGACATCTATATTGTTGTCCTCATCTAAATGTTCTACTGCGTACATGTACGCCGCTTTAGGGGAGGGCAAATTCCCCGCAGCACACATTTACATTTTCAGGAAAATCTTTGATACGCAGACCCACAGTGGCACTGGCGCAGACATTAACAAAGCCACCAACGCACATGAATAGGCAGATACAAGCCGGGGCACAAACACACTGATCCCCACGCAGCTAAGAACACACCAAAATGTGCACGGGAAAAACCAAGACACACTTAGAAATAGATTAGCAGGCTACACCTGGCTACGAGAGCATCCTAATGAGGATTAAATAAGCACTTCAAAAGAGCAGGGTAGAAAACAGCCCTATCAGAGGAGAGAGAGGGGAGCAAGTTTAGGAACTGGGGCTGACATCTGCGGATGGGGCAACAGTGTGGTAGAAGGCGGTGAAGAGGGGTGGAGTGTTCAGGTGCACTGGCATTAAGGTGTGTGAGAATAGACACTTGTTTATATTTACTAATATATGTGTATGTATGTGTGTGTGTGTGTATGCGTGCGTGTGTGTGCGTGTGTGTGTGTGTGTGTGTCTTGCTCTCGGTTGTTCTGTATTTTTCCACACCTGTAATTATAATATTTGTTCTGAATATTTCAGTTCTGTTCTTTACACTAATTAAAAATGGCTGAGTTTCCTTTGAAATTATTTGTTGACCTTTGAGCATTCATTTAAAGCAATTGTTTCAACAGTATTTTGGATTTTTAATTAATATCTATTATGTTTTTTTTATTTTATTATTTATCACTATTGCTGATCCTGAAGCTTTTTTTTCTACATGAGGACATGCTATTATTTTTAATTAATTTTAATAATTATAACCAGTCAGTCGATTTTATATGAAAAAAGGCTAAAATATTTTCTAAATAATAAAAATAATTTACAAAAATATTATATTTGTAAAGACATTTAATCCCTTAAAAGGTGATTTAAAAAATGCACTTTTAAAATAAACATTTCTGTCTTCTTTTCCAGGTGGAGTTCGAGTGGCTGCGGCAGTACTGGTTTCAGGGCCAACGCTACGCCCGCTTCTGCAGCTGGTGGACCAAACCGATGGAGCAACTAGAGAAAGACTGGAGGCTCATGGAGACAATGGTAAAATCACATTCATTTTTTGGTGCCATTAACCTGACTGTGTGGTTTGAGCCTGTGTGGATCACAGCGGCCCAAATATGGCTTTAACCATATGTTAGCAGTGTTCTTGAAAAGAATTTCCCAATTTTATGATAAACACTTGTTGTGTTTTTTACTATTTATAACAAATATATTTTAGAAGACAAATGTATACAATAGGAATAGGAGGAATCTCTTTTAGTTTTTACAGAATAAAATAAAAATACATAATAGCAATACATATTTATTGTTTATTGTTAATAGTATGTAATGCCACTAACAGTTTATAATAATATAACAATAATATAATATCAATAAGCAGTTATATGGACACAAATCTATTAATAAGGTAACTGATGAATGCATTGAGGGATAGAATATTATTAAAGTTGTTGCTGTTTATACTTTGGTGACAAAATCAGGTTACTAGTCATGTAGTCTCCTGCCTGATCATCTTAAATTATACTCATGATATAATTATATGTTTTTCCCCTAATTTGTCATAAGTACTTTTTGTCCAATAATGCTGCACATAAAAAAGGAGGTGGTTGTGACTCTCTGATGTTGAAACTTCACACCTTGGTGCGTCTTGGTTGACGTGTCACCGATCGTTCGAAGCTTCAAAGAAGTGTTTTATTAAAGAGGGAACACTGAAACACTGCCATTATGTGACTGAATCACTCAGTATTGTCAGACGTGTAATTAAGACACCTTAGTCACTGTGATTTATTGTCCACGCACACACAATAATCAAAGATGCATTAGTCTTATTGTCTCTTCCTCTTCTCAAAGCTGGATTTCAAAGTGTGTGTCAGTGAGTGTTTGTGCAGCCAATACACTGAGAGCTGCAGCAGCAGGGGGCACTCTTGTATCATTGTAGTAACAGCAGAGGGACGGACAGAGCTGTGCTTATTTTCTCACTCCCAATGTGCTCCCTCTCCCTCTCTCTCACTCAGTGTGTGCCTGAATGTCTCTCAGCCCTTGCCTTCTGTCTCTTGGAGCTCTCTGTCTCTGTCAGTGTTGAGTGCTGAGCAGTAATCACATCTAATGCTCAGGCGTGGATAAAGACAGGGGCTGTGGAGAGCAGTACTGCTGCTGCTGACACTGCCCAGCTCTACTCATAGTCTCTCTCTCTCTTGCTCTCTCTCTCTCTCACCAGAGCGAGAGAGAGCTGTTGTGTGTGTGTGTGTGCGTGGTGGATAGTTTGTAGACGGGGGTAAACTCATGGAGAGCTCCACCTTTGGGCCTAGATGAAGTGTGTGATTTGGACCTGTATTTAGAGAAGGGCACCAGTGAAATGTGAAGTTTTTCTCCTGCTGCTGCTGCTGCTGCGTCTCAATTTCTTCTGAAGGACGAGCAAACCATCGCTACTGTGTGTGTGTGTGTGCGCGTGGGATAGTTTTTAGACGGGGTTAAACTCATGGAGAGCTCCACCTTTGGGCCTAGATGAAGTGTGTGATTTGGACCTGTATTTAGAGAAGGGCACCAGTGAAATTGTAAAGTCTTTCTGCTCCTGCTGCTGCTGCTGCGTCTCAATTTCTTCTGAAGGACGAGCAAACCATCGCTACTGTGTGTGTGTGTGTGTGCGTGTTGGATAGTTTGTAGACGGGGTTAAACTCATGGAGAGCTCCACCTTTGGGCCTAGATGAAGTGTGTGATTTGGACCTGTATTTAGAGAAGGGCACCAGTGAAATGTGAAGTCTTTCTGCTGCTGCTGCTGCTGCTGCTGCTGCGTCTCAATTTCTTCTGAAGGACGAGCAAACCATCACTACTGTGTGTGTGTGTGTGCGCGTGTGTTTATAAACTACAGTGCTTTAAATCTGTTTCAGATTTCTCTTTATAAAAAAAATTAAAAATATTATTTATCACCATACTTATGTCTTAAAATATTACATGTCTCTAAATAAAAAATATCTAGTGTTACTAATATACTAAATGGCTCTAATTGTGTGTTTGCAGCCGCGTCAACTTCTCCAGTCTCTGTCTTCTGACTTGAACAATAATTACATTATGTCAGATCACACCGAAGCCGCTATGTGTCTTCTGCAGAAATGGGTATTGAATCCGTGCTAAAATAATACCGCGGTGAGCCGTAACTGTAACGATTCACTGTTGTGATGAAAGACAACATTATTGCTCTGCCAAGCAATATTTACATACATGCATCGACCTCTGATACGCTGATGAAAAGCACTTTATAGATGTGCCTTATAGATTTTTCCCGGTGTAGGTTTTGAGAGCTGCAGCTTTTCAGTAGTTTTATTAAAACACATTTCTCTAAATTACTCTGCCTTATTTAAATTACGTGGGTTCTGCCTTCATTCTTTTATTGCATATATTTTACATTTTCAAGGCGGCAATTGACAGTGCGGTGTGATTTAGCAGGAGACGACTGACCTGTGCTGATGCTGATGCTGTTTGACATTTACTCATTTTGTTTTCCCCTCCATTTGCCGGAAGTGTGGATTTTGATAAAGTGTTATTATATTTTTTTATTTTTTTTATTTTGCCAGATACGTCAATATCTGGCAAATATATCAAACTAACAAATGCAAATGTGTCTTTACGTAAAGTTTGTTGTTTTATGCACCGAGCTCTGGCAACGGAAGATCCTTTTATTTCATCCTGTTAAAACAGCAGTGCTAACCCCCCCCCCCCCCCCCCATTAATCTACCCACACCACATTGTGTGGCTTTTTGTGCATTTGTTAGTCTGTCTGAAGAATACTGCAATGTGCGGACTAACTCCTGTTTATGGCTGCTGCTCTCTCTCTCTCTCTCTCTCTCTATCCTTCTGCTCCTCAGCCTGTTGTCATGCAAATGCTCATCCTTTCATTTGAATGACATTCTGATCAAATACATCAATAAATATAAATACAAACGTATGGAGACAAAATGCACCCTGCCACCCTCTGACTCCGTCTGTTTCGGTGAAGGTGACAACAAAGATGTGGATCTGGAACAGTTCCATTGAAGATTCTGATTCTTTATGTGCGTTTGAAGGAACAGACATTGTATGGACGTATATAAGTCGACCCGGGGCCGTCTGTGGTCTATTTAAGACAGACATTAACTCAAAGGTTCGACTCTCCCCTGTGATTTGAGGCGTCGTCGGTCCGTTTAGACCTTCTGCTTGATGTTCTCTCAGGACTCTGTTGTCATGGCTATCATACAATAGTGACATTTCCTTAAACCAGCAACAATGAATGGCTTCTGTCTGACTGACAATAGACTGAGAGGCATGGCTTCATGCAGACTATTTTAAATACTGCTGTGGAATTATTTTTAATATCTTTTCCTCTTTTCACTGTGGGGGAGAAGCGACAGGAACGAGTCCACGGGCGCATCTTCCTCTTTATTTCTGCCACCTGTCCTGTGTGTGTGTGTGTGTGTGTTGAATGTGTGCAGCAGTGATGTTAATATATACACTCTGCATGACTTTAATTGATTTAGCAGCTCTGCTTGCACAGTACAGCTTTTTCCCTAATTTGTCACTTTCCTGACTTCTGTGGCTGCTCATCTTTGCAACTTCAAAAGCCGCCGCAGCTGCAGAGAGATTTGACTGTACACTCAGTCTTCTTCTGCCTCCCCCTCTCCTTCCTTCTCTCCCCCTCTCCCTCTTTATGTTGTTCCTTTCTCTTGTTTTCCTCCTTTCTCTCTCTCTCTCTCTCTTCCTCTCTCTCTCTCTCTCTCTCCATGTCTCTACCCCACACTTTCCCCTCTCATGTGACAGAGGAACAAGCCTTGTAGATAGAAATCCTTTCAACACATATCAAGGAAATTAATCTACTTTCATAATGAATGGGATCCACTCCGTTGAATACATTTGTATAATTCAAGATGTACAAAACAGGAAGTAGTACCAGGGCCATGTCTTCCTGTTCTCTGCTCACCCAGCCTGTCACTCTCTCTTTTCCACTGGGTTGGTCACACACATGCACATGTGCAGCACACACTCTTTTTGTCTCACTGTATAACCAAACATACCTACTCTGACTTATAACAGACTGCCTTATTTATGCATATACTTGTGTGTGTGTTGGAGTTCAGTGCTGTAGCCATTTCATCTTCTCCCCTCCCTTTAATAACAGACTTCGGAAACAATCTTGCCTGCTGAGGAGGGCTACACTGCAGTTAACACAGCCTGCTCTGGTCGCCATCGATAGCTGATTAGGTTATTGACCCAGCACGCGGCGGCTGGGTGCTGCGAGGCTGTGGGAGGGGGTGTATACTGATCTGTAGGGTGAGACTGTAGGAGCAGACAGGGAGGAAAATCAGAGAGGGGTTTTGTGTGTGTGTGTGTGTGTTGGGGGAGTTGGGTTATAGGTGGGGGGTCAATGTAAATGTTATTGCTCTGTGAGCTCATTTGATCAAAGTCCTGGAAAGGTTAAGCGAATCCAATCTGGTTTTGTATGGCAGAGTGGAGACACAGGCGCTGGGGAAGAAACCCCCAGGACGGAGAATGGATTATCATATTGGCGCTGGAGTAGCAGGGGCCTCGGACGGACAGTTTACCCTGCCTGTAATGCGTTTAGACAGCAATTGGCCTTAATAACCTTTATTGACTTCAGCGGGTCAGTGCCAAGAATCTAATTATCAAAGTGTATCAATTTCATCGGAGTTTAGAGTTGCACCGCTCAAAATAATTATTTTAAGGTCGAGCCGGGGCAATTAATCCCCTCTCCACTTATTTGATGGCTTTGTAAAACATTATAAATGTTATGGTTTCTGTTGTGCATTTCACAATAAATAATTTTAGGCTGCAATTTTTTAAATGTGTTGTTTGGAGGGTATTGGTCCAGCTGGGGAGGTGGGGTTGGCATGGGGGCCGGGGGGGTGAGACAGTAAAAGCGTGAAGATGGAGCCGAGCTGAACCGGGCTGCAGATGTTTACCAGCAGACATTTGTTTTTTCTGCTTGCCATTTTACTTGCACAGTCAGTTTTATACCCACTTTATATGCACATATGGAACCCAGATTAATT